AGTGGGATTGCTGGGTCATATGGCAGTTCTATTTCCAGTTTTTTAAGGAATCTCCACACTGTTCTCCATAGTGGCTGTACTAGTTTGCATTCCCACCAACAGTGTAAGAGGGTTCCGTTTTCTCCACATCCTCTCTAGCATTTATTGTTCATAGATTTTTTAATGGTGGCCATTCTGACCAGCATGAGATGATACCTCATTATGGTTTTTATTTGCATTTCTCTAATAATGAGTGATGTTGAGCATCTTTTCATGTGTTGATTAGCCATCTGTATGTCTTCTTTGAAGAAATGTCTGTATAGTTCTTTGGCCCACTTTTTGATTGGGTTGTTTGTCTTTCTGATATTGAGCTGCGTGAGCTGCTTGTATATTTTGGAGATTAATTTTTTGTCAGTTGTTTCATTGCTATTATTTTCTCCCATTCTGAAAGTCAGGCAGCCTTTTTAAAGGGCAGCCTCTATTCAGCTCTAGCCAATTGTCGCTTCAGCAAGCATGATGGGACAATGTTGCTAGAAATCCAACTTTCTCAGAAAAAATCAGAGATTTCAAGAGTTTCCACAAGTTCTCACACTTTCGTTTAATTTCTGGGAATTATACATCCAAACAGAGGGATGTGTAGTGCCTGGAAAATAGCTTATGCAATATACTGGGCTGCCCAAGCCTATCAGTGATTGTCATGTCCATAGTTGCTAAACTGGTCCTAAGTGGTTCCTTAGAAAGTGCCTTGCCATCCTGGCTCATCATTCTCTGCAGGAGCAGCCCAGAGGAGATCTGATCTAGTAAGAAAGTTCTGTTGAACCAGGATGATGGTGATGAATCATCCAATCGTCCAGTGAGAACAAATCCAAACTGGACCAAATAGCTTCCCTCTGGAATTTGAACTCCAGATAAACAGTGTGTTAATTGGCAGTGATAGTAGGTAGAGGCAGAAATATACAAAAGCACAGAGTAGTTAAATCATGGAGATGACAGAACATTAGACCAAGCAAACATCTTCTGTTGAGGAGTCACAAAATAAACCTAGTTATCTAGGGTTGTGCTGGATGCTGAAGAAATTTGAGTTTCTTCATTTCAGATCTTTTAGGCACTGTACAGTAATTCCTATTCTTCCCATGAGTTCTGGGTATAAAGGTTTCCTAGGACCCTATGAGGCCTGATATGTGGTCAATCTTCTCTCTCTTAATACTGTATCCGTATCATAAAACAGATACCTTGTTACTTTAGGTAATCTGAGTGAATTCTTGCAATGAAGAAACACAACAATGTATTTATTCAGTGTTCTTTTTTTTTTTTTTTTTGAGGTAATTTTCTCAAACCTTGATAAACTGCAAAATGCTTGTCCTGACTGCTTCTTTTCTGTGATCCTCTGCCTTTCTCTTCAAATTATTTTGATGTTTAAAACTGTTCTGTAATACTTATTAAGAACATTTTACTAATGGAAAAATATATCAGTAAGTCTAATTAATGTGCCAGTCTAAAAGTCTAAAAAATGTGCCAGTATTTTAGAGTGCACAGGAAGCCTGGCGTGCTGCAGTCCAAGGGGTCGAAAAGAGTCGGACAAGACAGAACAACAATACACCTCAGGGCGTGTGGCCCTCAGGCAGGTTACTTTATCTCTCAGTTCGGTTGCTCAATCTTGTCCGACTCTTTTCAACCCCAGGAACTGCAGCACTCCAGGCTTCCCTGTTCATCAACAACTCCTGGAGCTTGCTCAAATTCATGTCCATCGAGTCGGTGACGTCCTCCAACTATCTCATCCTCTGTTGTCGTCCCCTTTTCCTTCTGCCCTCAGTCTTTCCCAGCCTCAGGGTCTCTATCAATGAGTCAGCTCTTTGCATCAGGTGGCCAAAATATTGGAGCTTCAGCTTCAGCATCAGTCCTTGCAATGAATATTCATTCAGGACTGATTTCCTTTAGTATTGACTAGTTGGATCTCCTTGCAGTCCAAGGGACTCTCAAGAGTCTTCTCCAACACCAGAGTTCAAAAGCATCAATTCTTCAGCACTCACTTTATCTTTAGAGACTTTATGTATCATTTACATCTACATTACAAGTAGATAGAATATCTTCTTTAAAGGATTGAAGAATGAAATGATAATAGATGAAAAAGTGCTTTGAAAAAGTAGAAACTCTAACAAAAACAAAAGGACAATTAGCTCATTCCAGAAGTTCCACAATCTTTGCCTGCTCTTTTCCACCAGCTCTTGCTAGGCTATACTTTTTACCTGGATCTTAAACCCAAATTCAGTTTAGAGACCCGAGAACTTCAATTAAGGTTCTCTAAGATCTTTGACAACAAAATCTTTTACAGGGAATCCCAGTGGCTCAGTGGTAAAGAATCTGCCTGCCAGTGCAGGAGACATGGGTTCCATCCGTGGATGGAGAAGATCCCTTGGAGAAGGAAATGGCAACCCACTCCAGTATTATTGCCTAGACAATCCCATGGACAGAGAAGCCTGGTGGGCTACAGTCCATGAGGTTGCTAAAAGAGTTGGACACAATTTAGTGACTAAACAACAACAAGATCTTTTATAGCACTGGAAGTATATGATTCCCATTCATCCCATGATCATGAACACTATGTAGTAAGTGTTGGAAACACAAAAATGAGTAAAATCCAGTAAAAAACGTGAAATCCAGCAATGAAAAATGATGAAATGTAGCATTCGCAAAGTTTACACAAAGTTATTGGGAAGCATCATTCTGACTATTGCCTCTTTTCGACTCTACTATCAATCACAAAATACTTCTCAAGCACACAAAGCTGAAGAATACTGATTAAAGGGTGGTAAGATACAGAGAAGTTAAAAGATTATTGTGGTATTCTAAAAACCTATAATCTAGTGTTGCAAGCAGTACGATGGTGTTAAAATTTTAGTCTTGTCTGTTAACTTCCTTATTGTATGATATTTGACAAGTACTTTTTGCCTCTCTAAGCCTGCTTTCAGTGTTCCCTGGTGGCTCAGAGGGTAAAGAGTCTGCCTGCAATGCAAGAGACCTGAGTTCGGTCCCTGGGTCGGAAAGATCACTTGGTGAAGAAAAGGGCAACCCACTCTAGTATTTTTGCCTGGAAAATCCCATGGATGGAGGAGCTTGGTGGGCTACAGTCCAAAGGGTCACAAAGAGTCGGACACTGAGCGACTTCACTTTCACTTGCAAGCCTGTGTTCTCTCCTGCAAACCAGGGATAAAATATAGTACTTTTTCCTTAGAGTTCTTTCGAGGTTCAAGCGAGATAATTTACGTAAAAAACAGGTCATGGCACATAAGTGCTAAATAGCCACAATTCTTTCTGTGTGTGAGCGCAGTGCGGGGAGATGACAAATTTCTATCAACACAGAGCAAGTAAAACGCAGTGTTGCAGAACTGTTTCACTTTCTCCCTTTGAGCCGCAACCCTCCTCCTTTGCTTCCTTCTCAGCACCAAGCATTGTTTAGCGATCCAAAGTCCCACCGTGTGCAGTTAGCATTTCCAATGCGCAGTTAGGGATTATGGAGAACTTTTTATATACTAAGAAGTCAGTTTCGTCAAGTCACTCTCTTAATTTTTATCCCGATTACCACGGCTAATGAGCAGCGTTTCTCACCCAGGTTAATGAAAAAAGGTGAGCCACACTTCATCAAATGTCATGTAAATGTGGACTGATTTTCCGACTGCGAGGAATGAAACTCTTACAACGTACTCTGAAATCTTAAATTAAAAAAAAAAAGCCCACAATAATAATGCAATTATGTTGGGCTTGAAATAAATACTTTCCCAAGGTCAGTGGCTGGGGAGTAGGCGTCAGTGGTCTTGACGCTTTCAGATTTTCTCCCTGGCTCCGGCCCCCAACCCCAAAGCCCAAAGCAGCCTAGGTCTGGCTGTCTCATCCATGCCTTCAGGGCAAAGTGCAAGGGTGAGTACGGAGGAGCCAGGATGGGGGGCTGGGGGCAGGTGGGGCTGAAACGGAACTTCATTGTTCGCGGGACCGACTCTTCCCGAAACAGCCCGTTGGCAGCGCCTGCGCAGTGCGCGCTCTTTGTGCCCGGCTGCAGCAGCGGGTTGTTTGTGTGCGTCTCTTCCAGGCGGTGGAGGCGGAGCCTGATGGGCGTGACCTGCCCTGTTGCGTCCTGATTGGGCTTTCACAGGAAGGTGGGCGGGCGTAGGGCGGAGCTTCAGATAACAACACTCAGAGCGGAGGCTGAGGATATTTGTTGCTGCGCCGCCACCGCCCGAGCCATGGTCCGCGATTCACTCCGGCTCTCTTAGCAGCAGCCGCCGCCGCCGCCGCCCTGTTATCTGTGGCCTCACTCGCTCCTTCTGCTCCTGCTGAGCCACTTTTCCGCTCAGCGCTATGACCGTCGTTTCTGTCCCACAGCGGGAGCCGCTTGTTCTAGGCGGCCGCCTTTCGTCCATGGGCTTTTCCACCCGCGGTTACTTCGGCGCCCTCCCGATGGTTACCACTGCTCCTCCGCCTTTACCCCGGATCCCGGACCCCCGGGCGCTACCTCCCACCCTCTTCCTCCCTCACTTCTTAGGGGGAGACGGTCCCTGCCTGACCCCCCAGCCTCGCGCCCCGGCACCTCTTCCCAGCTGCAGCCTCGCCGCGGCGGGGGGCACCCCTCGGGCGGCACCAAAGAAGCGACGAAAGAAGAAGGTGCGGACCGGCCCGTCGGGGCAGCTACCCAGCCGCTTCCACCAGTACCAGCAGCACCGGCCGAGCCTGGAGGGCGGGCGGAGTCCCGCGACGGGCCACTGCGGAGCGCAGCAAGTCCCGGACCAGGCCCAGGCCGCCGCCTGGGTCCCAGCTCCTGCGACCGCAACCCGAACTGAGGAAGCGAGCCCTTTACTTGGCCCGCTGCCGCCCGCGGCGCCCGGCCAACCCTCGTTCAGAAGAGAGGTAAGGGCCGCGAGGGGGGCGGAGGGGGAGCCGTTGGCGTTGCGGCCTCTGTGCGGCCACAGCCGGGCCCCGAAGTCTGGGGCCCTGCGCCGAGGGGTCGGGGAGGGGGGCGGGGGCCGGGGCGAGGGGCGGCTGTTTACTCGGGAGGGAAGTTTCCGTGACGCCGGCTCCCTTCTTGCTGGGGGGAGGGGGGAGGCTTGCGCTGGCACCGCTGATTGGCTCCGGGGAGCCGGCCAATGAGAGGAGCCGCTGCGCCCCAGCAACAGCCCGGATTTAGAAGGCTGGCGGCGTGCCAGGGGGTTTCGGCGTTCCGGGCGCGCGGGGGGCGGGGGAGGGAAGCGGCCCGCGGGAAGCTGACGTCAGCGCGCGCTACGTGCGGAGCGCTCCGGCGCCCATGAAGGAGGCGAGCGGGCGGCGATGGGGGCTCGCGGTGCGGGCCGGCCGGCGGCTTCCCGACCGCCGGTAGCGCCAAAACAGGTCGGGACGCGCGTACGGCCTCTCGCCTCCCTGTGTGGGGTTCGCGGTGGGCCGCCAGCCGCTCGCTTACGTTGCCTCTTTGTTGAGTTGTGCGGTGCCTGGTGTGGGGCGCCGGTCCAACTGGGGCGCAGCTCCTTGCCGAGCCGACCTACTTAGCTGTACTTTTCAACTTCGAAAGTTGGCAGGAGCGACGGTGGAGTTGGGTTGGCCCTGACGCGATAATTCTCTGTGTTTGTCAGGTGAACGGGATTGACGGTTTACGCATCCCCACTGTGTGTGCTATGCCAGGCTTCCTTAGTGGAAGGTAGTGTTGTGCCCAGAAGGGTGAAGTTTTCGAAAGAAAAGTTATCAGTTGAATTGACGTTATGATGCCCAGTTGCTGTTAAAGGAAGGACTAAGATAAAACTGAATAAAACTTAGATGGTATTAAGTCGCTAAGGTAACATTTACATCGAAATAAGACATTTTTCCTTTAATTTCAAAGGTTTTCATAATAATGAGAATAAGTTACTGCCATTTGTTGAAAGAATGTTTAAGAGATTTGCAGCTTATCTAGCTGTGCCCTTGGAAAAATTTAATCTGTCTGCTGTGAATCCTAAAAATTCTGTATAGGTTCTTCTTTCAACTCCTTGGGCTTCCCTGGTGGCTGAGACGGTGAAGAATCCGCCTGCAGTGCGGGAGACCCGGGTTCAGCCCTTGGGTCGGGAAGATCCCCCGGAGAAGGGAATGGCAACCCACTCCAGCATTCTTGCCTGGGAAATCTCATGGACGGAGGAGCCTGTCCGCTACAGGCCGTGGGGTCACAAAGAGTGGGACACGACTGAGCGTCTTACACTTCCATGGCTCTTCTGAAGTATTAGTGATAATGTAAAAACGAGCTTTTATACTTGTTTCCTAGTAAGATGACTTTTTCTAGAACTGTATTCAAGCCTGGGCACTCTCTTGCCGTTACCACTTCTGACTTGGTTATGTTACCTTGTGCTCTGGCTTTCTATTTGTGTCCTACTTCCCTACACATTAGAAGTTTTGAAAGGACAGTGATCTAATAGATTATCTTCTCTTTCCATCCTCTCATCGCTTCTTACAAGGATCACTTGAGTTAGGAAAGTGATTAGAATTAAGGCAATAAAGTTCTTGAAGCAATTGTTAAAACAGAAAGTAGGGAGCAGGCAGAAATCGCCTTTACCATTACGTATAAAAGTGGAAAGGATGATAGTCTTTTTAGTATTTAAGTTTCTGAAATTTTATTTTCAGAAGCTGGGAGATCATTTTTAATGTATATACTTAGTAACCATTGTCAAAACATTTTCTCACTCCTCACATTTCCTGGCTCCTGCTAATCATATTTTTCTGAAATATTTTTTCAAGTACCTGTCTTACAAGGTAGATAGTGTACCTGTTAACATAGTTTTTCTTTCAAATCTGCCAAAGCATTTGAAAATTTCTCTTGGAAAACTCCGACTGTAAAAACACTGACCTTTGTTAGGAAGAGGTTGGCATACTTGTTTGGCAGAGAGCTCATTACTTTTCTTTCCAGAAAGATGAACTTGGTTACCTTGGGCCTTTTACTGTGCATTTTAGAATCAGCTCATACAGTGTACTAGTAACAGTGATTTAACTATTTTCAGTGGTAAAATTAGATGTGTGCGTATTTGGACATCATTGCTTAAGTGCAGCAAGCACATTTAATCAAGACAGTGAATGAAAGTCCAGGAGAACTTTAAAAAAAAAAAAATATTAGATATATGGTGAGGTTCATGACTGCTTTTTTATCATGAGACTGTATTCACTTTTATTATGTTCCTTGTCTTTGTAGGTTTTAAAATCAAAGATGGGAAAATCGGAGAAAATTGCCATTCCCCACGGCCAACTTGTTCATGGTATACCCTTGTGTGAACAACCAAAGATAAACAGACAGAAAAACAAATATAACTTACCACTAACCAAGATCACCTCTGCAAAACGAAATGAAAATAACTTTTGGCAGGATTCTGTTTCATCTGATATAAATCAGAAGCAGGAAAAAAAGCCTTTTAAAAATACTGAAAATATTAAAAATAAGCATTTGAAGAAATCATCATTTCTAACTGAAGTGAGCCAAAAGGAGAATTATGCTGGGGCAAAGTTTAGTGATCCACCATCTCCTAGTGTTCTTCCAAAGCCTCCTAGTCACTGGATGGGAACCACCATCGAGAATTCCAACCAAAATAGGGAGTTGATGGCAGTACACTTAAAAACTCTCCTAAAAGTTCAGACTTAGATCTCAGTATGTATGTAAAACATAGTTTTTCCAAAATCCCTGGACTCCTTGAAAAGAAGTGGTACAGAAATGGAAAATTGCCTTGTTGTAACATACAAGGGCAGAAGATGAGTTTAAAAAATTAAAAGCAGCTTGTATTATATTTTATATTTTGTAAATACTGTATACCATGTATTATGTGTATATTGTTCATACTTGAGAGGTACATTATAGTTTTGTTATGAAAGTATGTATTTTGCCCTGCCCAAATGGTAGGTGTTTTGTATATATACAATGGAGAAATTTTAAGTGTGCTAAGGCACATATAAGACCGATTTATTTGCACAAGGTACTGAGATTTTTTTCAAGAAACAGCTGTTGAATCTCAAGGTGAAGATCTCAATGTGAACAGTTTACTAATGCACTACTGAAGTTAAATATGTGGCACAATCATTGTAAACATAGGGTTTGTCTATGTTTCTCTAAATTGATTTCTGCCTTCTAATCTGTAATTACTGGAAAACTTCTATTCCCATTTTTACCAAACTTAATTTCTGGTTTTTGGTTTATATCCGTTCAGATTTAAAATTTTAATGCCAACAAAATCGGTTGTAATCAAATTTTAAAACAATAATAATAATTTGGCCCCCCCTTTTAAGTCTTGACTCTTTGTGTGTGATTGTTTTTCATGTTTGAATGTGTAACTAGGAGATGGATTTTAACTTTCCATTTCACTGGCTAAATGTTTATACTAATTGTATGTCCTCTTGAAATTTGGAGAGTCTAATTTAACACTACTACCTCTAAGGGGAGGAATTCCCCATCTTACAAATGGAAATGGTTGTGGGCAAAAGTATAGCTGATTTAGTTTATAGCTTAGAATATGTTTTTATTTTTGAACTGTTTCGTACCATTTGACTTACCACGTTTACAATGAAGGAAAATGGCACTTGTTTGGTTTTCAAATTTTGTTTTCAAACTTTGAGTATACTGGTTTTCAAAATCAGTATATTGATACTGAATGGGATACTTGAATCAAAGCAAATATAGCATGTTAAAATAATAGATGGAGATTTTGGAATCTGAAGCTTGCATGAAGTTACTGTAGCATATGTGTTTTTTACTTTAAAATTCAAACTTCTACTCAATAGTGTATAAGGTCTATTCCAATAAGAAATTCTAGAACACAATTTTCCCTTTTCATTATACAAAGCCAAGGTTATCCCAAACAGTACAAAGGAAAAAGTGGTCATGAGTAATTGATCAATATTTAGACATGTAAAAATGTAAAGTTGTTAAAAGGTTATATATGATTTTATGAAATAGTGTAGATGAGAAGGTGCTACCATCCTGAGGGGAAGAAATGAGTCATAAATTTCAACTTCTTGGATCCTTTGGTTCACACAAGGGAGGACCCAACTTTAGAATCCTGTTGACTTGACAAGCAGTGCCATGATCGTATGATGACTTGTTACTGCCACTACAAAATCTCAACAATCTACAGCTTGTAAACAACCCATCCAGCCGTTTTGCTTTGGCACTGATTGTAACATGCCTTGTTCTTATGAATTTAGAGAAAGTTACACGTAATTTACACACAGATCTATATAGCTAGATTTTTAAAAAGCTATTTAGAGAAACTAAGATACAGGTGCACTTTCAACCTTGTAAAGACTTTTTTTTTCTTTTAGCCGAGAGGAGTGTTAATACACTGGTAAAGAAGATGGTTAAATTTTTTAAGGGATGATATAAGGAAATTATAAAAAATTTTGCAGTTTGAAAAGTGGTTGAAAGTAGACTACAGATATATTTAGTGAGAAGGTGTTTACAAATTTAAGTTGAATAGGTTTGGTTTTACAGTAAAACAGTTATTTAGCAGTCTTAGTCTCTTCAGACTACTGTAACAAAATACCAGAGACTGGGTAGCTTGTAAAATTCCTCAGTTCTGTAGGCTGGGAAGTCTTAAGATCAAGGCAGAGCAGGTTTGGTGTCTAGGGCTTCCCAGGTGGTGCTAGTGGTAAAGTGTGCCTGCCAATGCAGGAGATGGAGGTTCCAGCCCAGGATCAGGAAGATCCCCGGGAGGAGGGCATGGCAACCCACTCCAGTATTCTTACCTGGAGAATCATGGATAGAGGAGCCTGGTGAGCTACAGTCCATAGGGTTGCAAAGAATCTGGACAGGACTGAAGTGAGTTAGCATGTAAGCATGCTCAGAGAGCCTTCATGAGGTTTATAGCAGGTGACCTTTAGCTGTGTGTGCGCATGGCACAGGTGGGGGAGCTTTTTGGGCTCCCTTTTATAAGGACATGAATCCCATTCATGAGGGTTCCTGTCCTATTCTAATCACTTGCAAAGTCTCTACCTCCTGTTACTATCACCTTGGGGGCTGGGTTTCAACATAAAAATTCAGACCATAGTGCAGCCTGATTATTCAGCAATTATTTTTCCCCTATTGGAGTTTCTTGAAGCATTTCCTCCCAATGTTCCTGTAATTTGTTTTGTGGGGATATAAAGTACACTGCAGTTTTCTGCTACAAACCTAAATTTTAACTAATGGCCTAGTTTAAAATTGCAAAGGGGTAAAAGGTGTATGTGAGTGGAAAGAAATTGTTCCATGCAGTGGCACTTTCCCTGCAAAACACATATATGTGATTTAGAATCTTATACTGAAGTGTCTTTAGGTAAATTTGTACAATTTGATAGAGTTTACTCAGTTCATACCACTGATGCAGTGACAATATAGAAAGCTGCTTTTATTTGCATTAATCTTGGTGCTAAGTAATTCGTGTCCTTGCAGAATAAGAAAGGAAAAAGTAATAAAAGACCAAATTACAATATTAAAAGATTGATGGGAGCCATTCTTTCCAAACTAAAGGTGGTTTTTAAGTTAAAATTCAAACTTTAGGGTAGTTTCTAAATTTGAAGATCTGAATGTATTATCAAGTAATTTACATTTTACTGTTAATCGGCTTTCAGGTTTCTAGGCATTACTATACCCCGTTCCTTCACAAATTATAAAACTAGTACAAATGTGGGAAATGAATGGGATCCAGTTATGCTGTACTTAAAACCACTTGTATTTCTTTTGCCTAGTACATCGTTTTGTGTGTGTGTGTGTGGTTTTTAAACTAGCTAAAATCCCATAGTATTTGTTCTGTCTTCACCTGCCTTCATTAAAAGCCCCGACTCAACTTTCGGTGTGGAGAAGGAACCAAACGCAGGCCCATCCCAGTGCTTCTGCCCCTCAGCACCAGGGCCCAGCATGGACCTGGTAAGCGGGGCATGGTGGGCATCCACCCGACAGGGAAATGAGGATTACGAGGAACTGTGAGTGTGGTGGATAAACTAGACCCCTCTGATGCTTCAGCTCCCAGCATGTTCTCAAAAGCATTTCACTGGGGAGAAATAGGGCTGTCATAGCTCAAAGCCACCAACCTCTGCCCTATTTATTCCTGATTCCTCCAGAAGCAGTGCTGGGGAGAAACATGAATATTCAGTGGTTTGAGATTACCAAAAAATGCAAGGCAAGTATTTCGTGGGGGAAGCTGGTTTTGTGATTGAGACGGTGGGTTAATTTTGAGTTGAGTCCACAGGGCCGGAACGGGATACGACTGAGCGACTGACCCTTTCCCTGAGCTCCTGTGGTAGCTGAGATGGTAAAGAATCTGCCTGCAGTGCGAGAGACCAGGATTCAATCCCTGAGTTTGGAAGATCCCCTGGAGGAGATAATGGCAACCTATCCAGTACTCTTGCCTGGGAAATCCCATGCACAGAGGAGTCTGATGGGCTACAGCCCATGCGGTTGCAGGCGAACATGGCTGAGCAACAGACACTTTCTCCATTAAGCAATCAGTTCTAGAAAGGAAGATGCGAAGGGACTTCTGTGTGATACTGGCATTTTTGTATGAGTCTTTGTTCCCGCTCACATAAATGCAGATGTCTTCTTTACAGATGGGAAATTCATTTTAGGAGTGAAGCCCATAGTTAAAAATTCCCCCAATTGTTAAGTCACCAGGTTTAGCTTTTTAAAATAGTATGTTGTAAATATTACCACTAATTGGCCTACAGGAGTTCTGAAGTCTCTCAGACCTATGATTCCACCAGATGGCTCATTTATGTGCGTATGTGCATTCTTAGTATAATAAAAATCCTAACAATGAAACTAATAGAGAGTCCTTGTCTTGGATAAAAACTTCAACCACTGCTCCCCTCTTTGTTTGAAATACCTGTTTTGTGTAATTTTTGAGCCGCATGTCTACTGTTTGGAGTGAGGGGAATTAAGAGTGAAGTATGTTCAAGAGATAGCTAACCCTTGGACAACACAGGTTCAAACTGAGCAGGTCCACTTTACACACGTATTTTTAAAATATTAAGTACTTCATGATCTGCAGTTGGCTAAATCCCAGGATGTGGAACCTTGGGTATGGAGGAATCACAGATAACAGACTATAATTTATATGCATGTTTCCTTCAACTGCACCCAACCTGAGTTGCTCAGGGGTCAACTGTACAAGGGTAACTGGCAAAACTAAAAGTTAACAGCATAGGTGGGTGAGGAAGAAATGGCCACCGTAACTAAAATACAAGCTGCGTTCCCTTCACCCTGCACCCTACCGAATGTCGTAAAACAAGTCAAGTCACTGTGTCTTCCAGCAGGTGGTTGCTGTAGGGAGTAGGGATCATCTCCTTGGGAATCAGACGCTCTGGAAGGAGCATTGTGTGGGGCCTTAAAATAGTATATGACATGCATATATATAACTGTCAGAGGCAAAAGTTTTAGCAGTCTTCTATGAAAAGATGTGGACTACTCAGTAGCTTGAGAAGTGCAGAGTCAGAAGATTCAGTCTTGAATGGTGTATTGGGGTAATAACATGAGGGGCTTTAAATTCCATGTTTAAGAGTTTCAACTTTATAAGCATGACAGTCATCAGAGGTTTATGAACAAGGTAATAAGATTCTAAAAGAAAATATGAAAGTGGAGTATAGTTTGGAAAGGGAAAGCTTGGACACGAAAGCCACTTGAGATTCAGTAGTTTAAAAAAAAAGCCTAAAGGACATTATCAGAGGTTATGCTGAGGCATGGACTTATTTGGGAGATGTTTTGGAGGTAGAACTCAGAATGGGAAACTGAATGAAGCATAAGAAAAAGATTTAATTTAAAATCAAGCCATTAGGAAGATAAAGCCAGCAATTAAGGACCTCTGGAAGGGGCTGGAATTGTGGAGGAAGGTGATTTCGATCTGCATGTTGAACTTTGAGATCTGTGTAGGATATCCAAGGGGAAATATACAGCAAGTAAGGTCGGGTCAGGCCAAGAGGCACAGCTGTGGTAACTGCACAAAAACACTAATTACAACATGAATATGAAACAAGTATTGTCTTCCTGTATTTTCTCTTTTTCCCCTCCTTAGGTTAGCACCTTTACCAGTACTCCTGACCTCACCCTTTCTGCCTCCTATAGACTCCAGACTTCATCTATGATAGTAAATGCTTTAAAGTATTTCCTCTGAAACAGTATTAAATGATGGTTAGTTACTACTGACCTGTAAAAGTCTGTTAGTAATGGTTCAATACTAAATTCTGGATTCAAAACCGACAGCAGGGGGCCGGTAGCTGAAAAGGAGGAACAGTTTCTTTCCCTTTTCTGAATTTCAAACTGGGTAAAACTGATCTTTTATAATACTAAAGTTTTTTGTAAATCTTACCCTTTCTAATGACCATCCCATTTTATTGCTAAATTTTTTTTTCTTTATCGGAGGGGGGAAGCCCTGGACTCCCATGCCCTCTATGCTGTGGATACCCGTTTCAGGCTGAGGGAGTCAAGATGTTCTTACACGTGGGCATGAAAGGCTGACAGTCTCATCATCTTCCTCTATATTCATAATTTTGAAGGGCACTGCTGAATGAAAACATGTAGAAATCACAAGCCTGCTCTACTAGCCCTGAGGTAACTCCTCCAAATTTTTTTTGTGTACTTTATTCCTCTCCTGAATCCATAAATCTTTCAAAAGTTTCCAAATAGGGAAACAGTATGTCTGTTATGAAATGAATTGTTGTAAGCACACACTGTGTGTAATTCAGGAGGTCACTTGTTTTTGTATCTGAAAGGGAATTTCAGAGTACATTTTATAGACTGCTTTTTATAAACATAAATTAATCTTTGAAGGAAACTTTCTTGGTAATTTTAGGATCCTCTGAAGGTATGGGATGAAGTTTTAAGAGTTAGGTATAATCTATTTTATGCCTGAATTAAACTTTTTCTTTAAATCTCTTGGATTAGATGTTTTACTCTGACAGTTTTCAGATTACTTTTCATATCCTTTGCAGTTTTCTTGGGAGTTCTAAATTGAATATGCTAACAAGTATGAGTAATATTCCCAACACCCCAGAACTGTATTTGCCAAAACTAAGCTTGTGAATCACAATTTAAGATTTATAGGTGTTACACTTACTAAGGGTTCATTGTCAAGGTCTTAGAATTCATTTTCTAACGTAGTTTGTTGTTTAGTCATTAAGTCGTGTTGGGACTCTCTGGGACCCCATGGACTGTAGCCCACCAGGTTTTTCTACCCATGGGGTTTCTCAGTCAAGAATACTGGAGTGGATTGCCATTTCCTTCCCCGGGGGGATCTTCCCAACCCAGGAATTGAACCCACATCTCCTGCTTGGCAAGCAGACTCTTTACCACTGAGCCACCAGATAAAGTGAAAGTGAAAGTCGCTCAGTCGTGTCCGACTCTTTGTGACCCCAAGGACCACACAGTCCATGGAATTCTCCAGGCCAGAATACTGGAGTGGGTAGCCTTTCCCTTCTCCAGGGGATGTTCCCAACCCAGGTCTCCTGCACTGCAGGCAGATTCTTTATCAGCTACCCCGCACATACATGTGCTGTGTGCCGAGTTGTGTCTGTCTCTGTGACCCTTTGAACTGTAGCCTGCCAGGCTCCTCTGTCCATGGGATCCTTCAAGCTACTCCTAAATTATTACAGATAGTTCCTTTGTTCTAAGATTAGAAATTAACCTGATTAGTTGTCAAAGCCGAATTACAAACCAGTCTAGAATCTTGAGAAGATGGCAGGATGAACACATTCTGGTGATTTTTTGATTATTTCTGACATGGAAATGTTTGATTTCATTGAACTCAAACTGCCTTCAAACAGTAAGATCTTTAAACGGGAAGATCTTTATTTCACTCTGCTTGGCAGTATGGAGCCAGAGGCCTTTGGCTCTTCCTATCTCCCTATCTTGGGAAAGATCTACAATTTGGGAGATCTTCTTGCTATAAAATGAGGGCTGTCAACAGTCCCTTTCAACGTTGAAATTACCCTTCAAGTGACCACATTAATAGAACAAGGCTCTCACATTAATAGAACAAAAGGACTATCAAAGGCTAGACTTCCCTTTCCAGTCAGCCTTCCAAGGGTCCTAGTCACTGTGCTCAGTCCAGTCTCTAACTATTTGTGTGTTTCTTAGGTTACTGTAAATCATCTGACCTTTGAAACTACACCCTGAATTTTAAAACCAAGAAAACAGGATTATGTTTATAAAAGATAATCAAGATTTTTTGATCACTCTTTTGCTAACTGGAAAAGCCCACTTATGAACATTCCAATTTTCAAAAACTTACTAAATGTTAAAATAACTTGAGGAAAGTATGTGATGAAGCAAGCATAATTTACTGTTCAACTGTAGACTCTACTTAATTAATGAGTATATGGGTATTCATTGTAAGATTACCTTACTGAAGAGTTCTACAACAAAATGTTAACAGAACTGGGGGAAATGAAGGCTGCTTATACACGTTAAAAATTATAATGACTATCCCAGTAGCTTCCCTGGTGGCTGAGTCAGGAAAGACTCCGCCTACAATGCAGGAGACCTGGGTTTAATCTCTGGGTCGAGAACATCCCCTGGAGAAGAAAATGGCAATGCACTCCAGTATTCCTGCCTGGGAAACCCCATGGACAGAGGAGTCTGGCAGGCACAGTTCATGGGTCGATTTAGCGATTAAACCACATTACTCCTACATTATACGCAAATTGAGTATTTGCCAACAATTCCAAAAATTCGTTTACATTAAATATGAAGCACTAAACAGTCAATCTTTTGAGGCTGTAAACTGGATGCTTTTTCTTTGCACTTTTCAACTCTAGTTGGTCGTAACTTCTACAATAACACAACTCTAGTCAATGACTGAAATACCAAAGTCATTGTAAATACCTGAAAAATTAGAGGAATGATAATGTATTTAAGCACTGGCTTACTGGGCAAATATGACAACTGTTATCTAATGTTAATGTTGAAATAAATTTTAAAGCTTGGAACTAAAGTTGGAGGAGGAGGTAGGTGGAGATTACAGAGATTCCGCAGGGCATTTATCATTGCTGCCCGTGGTTTGCGAGGAAAGCTAAAGAATGATCTACAGCGGGATAACCTGCACTTCAAGCAGTGTGAGGAAATACCTGTTTGTATGAGATCCCCAAAGGAGAAGAAGGGGCTGGCTAGAGGGCTGGTTAGCACTGAGGTGACCAGAAAGGAGACGCACAAAGCAGCGTGCAACCCTCTGGCTCCCACTCTTTAAAATCTTTAATGCTGAATTAACATCCTTGGAACTAATGAGAAGTTGAAAGCATTTAAATTTATTCTTCAGGTGTAGTTCCACTTTCCATGATAGATACTCATGTAAAACCATACATTTTAGTCCAAAGTAGCTAACAGGTGATGGACAAAAATGTGGTCACCAAAACCTCTTTGAGTATTAGTTATACTTGACTACTGACAACCAGCTAAGAGAACCTTATACAAGTGCTTTTCATGTATGAGATACTGTAGAATAAAATTTTATTATCCATGTTTTTAACTGGCATTAAAAAAAAAAAACCCACACAGATTATATGACCAGACTAGGGAATGAATTATAAAGTATAAAACAATACAAAAAATGGTTAGACTTAATATACACATTAAAAATTATAATGAATATCTTAACAAAACTAGAGCCTGAGTATTTCTAATTCAGCTACATTGAACATTTTAAGGTCAAAATTTTATGGTTTACTGACAGTGATGAATGTAAGTACTTTTCCTTAAGGTTCTTGTGAAATTATGTTTCAGTGTTAAAACAAATTTAAGTAACACTCCTCCTCATTTTAAAATGTAAAAATGCCCTGAAACACTCAACCAATTATACAGCTTAGGACGGGTACTTTTCCTCAAGGTGTAAAGTATTGCAACAAAGCGGATACTGCCTCACAAATAGGAATGGTTTTTAGTTTTGCCTCACAAAAAAATCATGCATTTTTTCTTCTTACTACTGAAACAGGCTATCACTTGAGCCTGGAAGACTGTTTTATATTGAGATTTCTGTTGAAATAAGTCAATGTAACAGCATTTTAAGACTACTTATCAGGAGTAGGCTAAGAAAACTTATAGTTGTTTCTTTAGGAAACAGCTGCTTATAGCAAAGAATCCTGGCTTTCCTCAATCTACATCTACATCCATTTCTAAAAAGCATATAGTTCTTAGGATTCAGGAAGCTGTAACTTTGCTTGTTTCAGTGATACTTTTTCTGAGAAACTACTCATCCTATACAAGCTGCAATACATAAGATCAAACAGTAATAAACATGTGGTCGATCCACTTCTAGCAAAAGCACTGATTACTGGCTAGATATTCTCTTATTTGGAGACTGACCCTTTAAATTTTCTATCCAGAAAGAACCTGAAACCTGGCACACCATTAAGATATTCTTGATTTTAATTTATAGCCTATTTAAATACTAGTTTATAAACTAAGTAGGCTTTAAGAGGTAGGTTTAATATGGTGTTTTGAGTTGTGTGAACCAAACACGCTTAAAATTGTATAATACATTTAAAAATGGTAACCATCAACCCCCTTGAACATCTACTTCCACAAGTTGATATTTTTTTCATATATTCAAAATTGTGGTATATCCCTAGAACATAAGCTTCAATTAAGAGTAATCGTATAACCCTTTCCCCCAAATATAATTAAAACATTATACCATGTTTTGTGGGGAGATTATTCCTGGGGTATAGTAGCCTAGGTGTATTTTTAAATTCCCAGTTACTTCAGGACTCCTTTATAGTCCACCCACCTTCTTTGTGGGCTGTCCCAGTATACCAAGTTCCTGGGATGGGATCAGTGCATCAGAACACGCTCTGAGTGGGGGGTGGGGCTGGGAGGGATTCAGGGAAGCCCAGTCAAGAATGAAGTGTTTACCCCCCTAAGGCTGTTTATGTGAGGCAACGGGGCCTGGTCTGGGATGCACAAACTTGGTTATTTGCTTGATTTAAGAGCATCTTGTACAAGATACAAATTTTGCAGAGGGCCTAAACTGACCTGGAAGAACAATGCTGGAGCAAATGCTACGATCCTAAATATTCTATTTTCATCAAGGGAGTGATTCAGATGCTAAGTTCATGATCTTCACTTAATGCTTAAATGTTTTCTAACTGAATATATGAATTTTGAGACTAATATCTGGATGTATCACTGAACCACTGGTTTTTAAACTACTAGGAATCACGGACTTGTTGTAAAATCTACAGGTGCTAGATCTGAAGCTTTGGTCTCATGACCTGGATTGAAATCCTCTGCATAAGTAGCAGTGTTATACAAGCACCCCGGATACTTGGCCACCCTGTTTGGAAAACAAATTTAATTTTTATCTCCAAGTAGGAAATTACAATTTTAATGTAGTTTAGGAGAATTATGGGCTTCCCTGAAAAGCTCAGTTGGTAAAGAATGCACCTGCAATGCAGGAGACCCTGGTTTGATTCCTGGGTTGGGAAAATTTGCTGGAGAAGGGATAGGCTACCCACTTCAGTATTCTTGGGGTTCCCTCGTGGCTCAGCTGGTGAATCCACCTGCAATGCGGGAGACCTGGGTTTGATCCCTGGGTTGGGAAGATCCTCTGGAGAAGGGAAAGACTACCCACTCCGGCATTCTGGCCTGGAGAATTCTAGGGATGCAAAGAGTTGGACATGACTAAGCAACTTTCACTTTTCTTTAGAAGAACTGTAAAAGTATTTCTAAATGTTTCTTCTTTTAAACTCTGATTTTGCCTCATGCAATGGAACTGGAATAAAGACACTCCAATATATTTATAATAGAAGAGCATGTCTTAGAACAGTAGAACCTCAAGTAATATATATTTATCTCAGATAACACATAAAGTCCTAAAATTAGTTAATATTTTACATTTAAAGACAAATAGCCCAGTGGCACAAGATTAAATCCTAGACTCCTGATAAAGAATTTTAGCGTGTTCCCCCATTTTCTGTCTGCAGCTGCAAAATACCGGCTGCTATACAGTAATTATGTGTATTACTTATGAGAGAAAGAAAACAAGCGATCAAAGTGGCCATCTTTACCTTCTCTGACATATCTGATCCTCTATGAATCCTGAACAAATGGAGGTAGGAAGTGCCCCGATATTTAAAGTGGGTAAGTACCTAAATAAATATACTATCTTTAAAGGAAATGATCACAGATGGGCAATACATTTGCTTTATTTAACAATCCTACCCTAAGTATCCTCTCCTAAAAGGCCCAAGAACAATTCTATAGCAGAAGTGAATCCTAGAACAGATGAACCCAGAATACAATTTTCCAGGGTATCAGCACAATTGTTAATCAATTTCTACTCACAGAACCCAGTTTCACTGAAGCCTATAATCGTTTCTTTTCCTAATTCTGTTATCTCCTTTTCCTCTAAATATTATCTTAGTTTAGCATGTATCTGTCAAAGACTCTGGTCTTCCACAAAGACAAGCGTGGTGATCCGGGAGGGCAGTATGGAGCCCAGCCACCGCCCGGCTACAAAGTCCGTTGTGTGGCCTTGTTTGGGCATGTCACTGAAGCTCTCTTCATCTCACTTACCTGATCTGCAGTGGTATTGCCCTTATAAAGCTCTTGTGATGAGTGAGTAATGTAAAACTTCACAGAGCATTGCCAAGCACATAGTAAATAACCATAAAGTTTAAACTATTATCATTCCAGTTTTTCAATCAAACCAAACAGTATCCTCATAAGCAGTCTAGCAATTACAATGGACAACCAAATCAGAGTAAATCGAAGGATTAAGCATGTTCAGAAACACAGCCTTATTAACTTTTTACTAAAATATGATTAAATGGAGACACTATAATCAATTCGTAGTATCCACAATAACTACATACATGTGTACATAAACCAAAACATTTATTTAAAAAATACAAAAAATTAGTTTGTCTTGCTCTTTCTTCAGACTATCCTGTCAATTTTCAGTAGTGCCACATAATTTTATAACTAAATTTTATTACATGTGAACACTTCAAACAGCTGTAGTTTTGAAATAAATTTTGCTATGATTAAATAGAGAAAATCTATTCAGAAAGTACAGAATGCACGAATTTATGATACTTATCCAATTACCACCAGTATATAAATTATTTTGTAAGGTTATTTCTTACACACAGGATGTAAAATGCAAAAAAAAGGAATTTGTATTCAAAACAAACAGAAGAAACACTGGCTCCTATAAGCTAAAAATATAAGACAGATTTTTTTTCTTAAGCATTCTAGATACAAATATTAACTATATGGGCTGAGAACTTTAAATTTCAATATAATTCAACAAGGTACACAGTAAAGCTCTATAAATATATCCCCTATAATAACCATATGCAAAACCATTTTATCACAAATACTACCAAACCCTCTGAAAAACGTAAACTACAAACACATTTTTAAAGAAATTCTGTTTTAACAACTACAAAAGAATATCAATAAAGCTATTTGGCTTTAAAAAATGAAGGGCAGTGTAATGTAAATCCCAGTACTGCGAAGCTGTTTTCTGAGAATGCAGTCTTGAGTTTAATACAAGGTACTAAACATTTTCAAAAATAAACAAAACTTATTCTATACCATTTAAAGTCTTGAACAAAAGTTCTAAAAAGAAACCACTAAGTAACAGATGAAAAGTAGGTATGTAGAATTAACGGTATAAAATGTGATTTTATACAAAATGTACCATCTTCATATGTATAAGGCTTGATATGAGTATTTTTGGACTATGAGTGTTGCACATTTTTATAGCAGTCTCAAACCGTTCGAAATGCAGTATTTTTAAAACGTTTTGATATTTCTAACAGGAATGAACATGATACAGGATACAACTTAATATCAATTTATCTATACTGTTCCACTCAGGAACCTTTTTTGAGCTTAGGAAAGAATTTCTTTTGAATGCTTGATCTCTAAACTCTACTTTTAGAAATGTCAGTATTTTATGATATAGAACTAATACCATCAGGAATTGGCCCAAGTTTAAAGAGAAAACACAAAGGAGACATACAGTGTCAAACAGTCTTAAGTTTGCCTTATGCAATTATACAGTCATCATTACTTTTACATGAAAGTAAAGTGCTTTATAAAGTAAAAAATATTTTTTTACTGTTAATACTTAATATCCAAATCAGATTTTCTAATTTAGTTCTACTTTATACATTTCCTCTAAAAAGTACTCTTCTGCCACGATGTAAGCAAAAAAGGGTCCATAAAATGGGACACCACTCACATCACATTTGTGGTGTGGGCCCTTACACTGAGACCAAATCTTCATTAACCCAAGTGAGAGAGCCTTTATTTCTTATACATGCCCAAAGTAACTAATATCAACTCACATTTTCTGTAAACCTTCAAGAATTTTTATTCAACATAATGAGAAGTTTAATACCGATATTAAAACTACGGAGCACTCTTCTGTTGCTGCTCACCAGCTGTTTTTATGACGATAACTCCGCGACCTGGAATGTGATCGAAAGTGAGAGTGTTTTGCCGTTTGTGCTTTTGTTTCAGAATTGGTATACGCTTTGGGAGATTTACATGGGGATCTCGCTATGGAGTCAGAGTGTCTTCCATGTGATCTTGATTTTGTTCCTGAGCTAGTCTGCTTCTGAGGTGAGCGTGACTGTGATTTTCCTACTGACTTGGACCTTTTCTGCAAGGACTTGGACCTTGACCGTTCTCTAGACCCAGAATTCCTTCTTGGAGTTCTTGACTGCCGTGCTGAGGTAGACCGCCTGGGTAGTGATTTGGAGCGAGATTTAGACTGGCTGTAAGAGAATCGCCTGTGTCGAGACCTGCAAACATCCATAACGTCAGAGTATATATTTCGCACAGAAATAGTTAATAGGTTAGGAAACAACACTTTCAGAAACTTATATACTTTACATAACATTGGTTGCACTTTTGTTGGAGAAAAAAATTCTAATTTTATTATGCGTGCTTTTGGTTCAAAAATATGTACAAGTTTGTAATATTTGACCAAAAGATTTTGACTTTCCTGGGTATCTTTTGTGAGTCAGTTCTGAAAAATATATTTTGCATATTTAGTCTGGGTTACATAATTCCTAAGAGGTAAGAAAATCTGAAAGGGAAAAAAAGATAAAAAGAAAATATTTCAAGAATATTAAATAATGTTAATAAAAACAAAAACCTAGACGGAGGACTTCTGAGCCTTGTCATGACAGAGCAGCTTGCTCTAGACCAATCTTCCCATAAAAAAGCTGTATCAAAAGGTTAGACAAGACTTACAAAACGCCTGTTAACAGGCATTGGAGAATAACCATCAAAAGCAGAATCTGAAGGGTTACAAGCCATGAGGTTACAAAGGTAAGGGCTACCAAGGGTTACAAACGGTCTCTTTTCCCGAGACCGTTTTCCAAAAGCCAGAATGGGAGAATTAAGCCCAACTAGAAAACAGCTACTGGACTAAGCTGAAGAGACAGAGATTAGAATTCAGGGCCATCAAAATGGCTAAGACTTAACTGACAAAAATCCCAGAGATGAGGAAAATGCAGACAAACCACCCCACCCCAAGCTAAACTCTGCCTATAAATTTTCCTCAAGTCACTGGCCACCATCTACGGTGCACATGTAAGACTCCAAGAGGTTAGCAAAAAAAAACAACCCAAAAAATGAAACTCCGAAGGAAAAAAGCAAAAAAAAAAAAGAAAAAAAAAAAAAGGGAAAAACCAAAAAACCCCTCAAAAAAAATAAAAAAAACAAAGGAAAAATTCCAGCAAAAAAGGGCAAAAAAAAAGACAAAAAAGGGCAGGAACCAAAAAAAACAAAAAAAAATAAAAAGGAACAAAAAAAAAAAAAAACAAAAAAAAAAAAACCCAAAGAACCCGAAAAACAACAAGGGGGGGATCACTCACCTAAAGCCAGACATCCTGGAGTGTGAAGTCAAGTGGCCTGAGGAAGCATCACCATGAATAAAGCTAGTGGAGGTGATGGAATTCCAGCTGAGCTGTTTCAAATCCTAAAAGATGATGCTGTTAAAAGTGCTGCACTCAGTAGGCCAGCAAATTTGGAAAACTCAGCAGTGGACACAGGAAAAGGTCAGTTTTCATTCCAATTCCAAAGAAGTGCAATACCAAACAATGTTCAAATTACCAAACAATTGAGCTCATTGCACATGCTAGCAAGGTAATGCTCAAAATCCTTTAAGCCAGGGGTCAAGAGTGCAACTTCCAGATGTACAGACTGAATTTAGAAAAGGCAGAGGAACCAGAGATCAAATTGCCAACATCTACTGGATCATAGGAAAAGCAAGGGAACTTTGAAAAACATCTACTTCTGCTTCATTGACTACGCTAAAGCCTTTGACTGTGTAGATCACAACAAACTGTGGAAAATTCTTCGAGAGATAGGAATACCGGATCACTTTACCTGCATCCTGAGAAAACCGTATGCAGGTCAAGAAGCAACAGTTAGAACAAGACATGGAACAATGGACTGGTTCAAAACTGGGAAAAGAGTACATCAAGGCTGTATATTGTCACTCTACTTATTTAATTCATATGCAGAGTACATCATGTGAAATGCCAGGCTGGACGAAGCACAAGCTGTAATCAAGATTGCCAGGAGAAATATCAATAACCTCAGATACGCAGATGATACCACCGTGATGGCAAAAAGTAAACAGGAAAGATCCTCTTGATGAAGATGAAAGAGGAGAGTAAAAAAGCTGGCTTAAAACTCAACAGTCAAAAAAGGAAGATCATGGCATCCGGTCCCATCACTTCATGGCAAATAGTAGCGAAACATTGGAAACAGTGACAGACTTTATCTTCCTGGGCTCCAAAATCACAGCAGATGGTGACCACAGTCATGGAAATTAAAAGATACTTGCTCCTTGGAAGAAAAGCTATGACAAACCTAGACAGCATATTAAAAAGCAGAGACATCACTTTGGTAACAAAGGTCTGTATAGTCAAGGCTACATGGTTTTCCAGTAGTCATGTACAGGTGTGAGAACTGGACCATAAAGAAGACTGAGCGCCAAAGAACTGATGCTTTCCAGTTGTAGTGCTCGGAAAGACTCCAGAAAGTCCCTTCGACAGCAAGGAGATCCAACCAGTCCATCCTAAAGGAAATCATTCCTGAATATTCACTGGAAGGACTGATGCTGAAGCTCTGATACTCTGGCCACCTGATGCAAAGAGCTGACTCACTGGAAAAGACCCTGACGCTGGGAAGGAGTGAGGGCAGGAGAAGGGGCTGACAGGATGAAATGGTTGGATGGCATCAGCTCAATGGACATGAGTTTGAGCAAACTCCAGGAGACAGTGAAGGACAGGGAAGCCTGGCGTGCTGCAGTCCGTGGGGTCTTGAAGAGTCTGACAGGACTGAGTGGCTGAACAAACAAGTGTAACTACGAACACAAACCACTGAGGCCAGAGAGGTTAAGCCATCGTCTTAACCTTTAGAACAATGCAGAACTGTAACGAGAACAAAGCAGAACTGCACTGTCTTACAAGAAAATGTGGTTCTTTCTATTCCTGATACTCCACAATGATTGGAAACTGACAGTCTTTTTTTGTTTATTTTTCTCCAGACAAGTAGTATACTTTACTGCCACTAGAAGGCAGAATATGCTGTGAATATTCACTTCTCTAGATCAATCAGGAGAAAAGTTGGTTGATTAAAGCTCTAATACATTTGGAAAGAGCTTATATTTTTAATCAATCACATGGACAATTTTCTCCTTTTCTTTTACTCTTTTCACCAAGACCACTGGTTATCATTTAGTAAGTTAGGACAGTACTGCTTTAGGTACAATATTATATCTAGTTTGATTTTTTGTATATAAACCATTAACTTATAGTAATGTGAAGTGTTGAATATCACTCATAAGACTCATGTCCTTTGTGAAGTCAGAAGCAATACCAGTGGTACTGGTGTGACTCTGCTACACATGGCATATAAAATTTCTTAATTTGTTCTCACCACATTTTAGGTTCTATAAATGTAACTTGTATTTGAGTATATTGGTGTCAAAATCTCAGATAATCAATCAGTAGTAAAATGGCTTTCCTTTAGCCATGTAACAAAATGGATTATTCTCCACAGATTCACAGGAGGTTTATATTCTTACACTATCAGACCAAGTATGATAAAAAGAATCAAATTCCAGACCAAAACATAACTGTTCCTAAATATTTCTTCACCCACCTTGGTGATGGCTCAATCCTGACCTGGGTTCTCCTGGCTTATAAAAGGAGCTCAAGGCTTCCTCTTACTTACATGCCTCCCTAAGAATATGCCAAAATCAAAACATTTGTTTCAAACCCAAGGTGAAGGACTGATCTGACATGTTAAGATTCTAGGGCTCTGAATAGGCCACATTTTCTGGTAATCAGGATTCTCAGATATTTCTCTCTTCCTGTCTTTTCTTTCCACTTGGCTGGAGGGACTGGAGCCAGGCCACTTTACAGTCTTGTTTTTAGAACTAGGTACTTGGGATAAAGACTGTCTAGCTCGGGTACACACACTCCATGTTGGGCTCTTCCTTGTATAGGCTTCTGGGAGTTGAGGAACGGAGGGAGTGGAGTGAAAGTGAGCAGCTCTGCAGATCAGCTCTGATTTGAGGTTATGTTGTCACTGGACAGCTTAGATATACTCTATATGGCTCAGGAGAGCCAACTCTTTCTTTTCTTATCACTAACTGCGCCATATGGCATCTGGGATCTTCGTTCCCCAACCAGGGATCAAACCCAAGATAAGTCCCCTGCAGTGGAAGCCTGAAGACTTAACCACTGGATTGTTAGGGAAGTCCCAGGAGAGTCAACTCTTTATTACTCATAGAAAGAGGATACTAGCGTAAACGCTAATCAATCTTTAAGGCCAGAATTCACCTTAAAATTCTATATGCCTATAAAAAAAAAATTACACTATTAAAACTCAAGAGAAAAACAGTTAAGTGGTAGAATTTAGGCATGCTAATACAATTTCAGTTATGATTAAAACATCACCAAGTAATTTCCACTGCAATTTCCTATTATTCTAACAGAAACTAACTTCTAGCAGGAAAAACAGACAACTTGTAAATATCTTTTTCTGAAAAATCTACTAGTTTTATATTTTCTTCCTACAATGCTACCATACTTGGAATTTATTCTTGAAATAATTTGCTTTCTACAAATACACTGATTCACATTTTGATCAACTTCCTTTCACAAATGATTACATTTTATTTCATATGAGTTTTAAATTATCAGGCCTCAGATTCTTAATTTGGGGGTTCATTTAAAAAATTTTATTTAAAATCCTCATTTTATTGTCAAGTATACATCTTTAAATTTTTGCTTTTTTCCTCAGTATATATTATCTACTAAAAAGGTTAAACTTAAGTCAGGCATAAAATGAACACACTGGAAGGTATCTAACAAACCCAAGTTAAAATAACAATACATTATAAATTGAGAGGAGCATATCCTTCTAAAAAAGTTGATTCTTTATGTATATTAAGTAAAATGATTCTAGTGTCCTGTTTTTGAAAATTCTTTAAAATGTTTTCTGGAAACAGCAGAAAATTAAGTTTTCAATCCCCTTTTATTTTGTACTCACTCTTTAAGGCTATCCGACCGCCGCCTATTTCTTCCCCATGAGGAACTTCTACTTCGGGTTCTTCTTTGGCTAGGGCTTCTTGATCTCCTATGATCACTTGGAGAACAAGGGTGACGTTCTTTTGATTTCATCTGCCCTGGTGCTAGAATATGAAGTTCAAGATTAATAATTCATTACCTGAAAACCTCAATAAACAATCATTCAATAAATAAGCCACTCAAATAGCATTATATTCTGAAATAATTTAAATTAAAAAATCTGTCATTGCTGAAACTCATCCTGCTAAAAAAGCAAGATCTGCTATTAAGTCACACTTACTTTTGCGATCACCTTGTGCAAACTGTATTTCAATCTGACGGCCACATACCCACTTTCTATTGAGGTTATAAAGGGCGTCTTCAGCATCACGAACATCTTCAAATATGACTAGCTGTTAAGGACACTTTGAACATCAGATATCAAAAATATTATTTTTTAAAAATAATTTACAGGTGGCATGAAATAATTAGGAAAAATAAGCTCAAGTTTTTAAGGTCATATCTCTAACATAATTGAAGAATCAGAAAAAATATCACTATCAAATGCCCCATTATGATTCTTAAGAGTCTGAAAATGAACAGAAACAAATCTCTAACTGTATTTTTAATGTATACATTAAAAGCTGTAGAATGCATGTAATTTGAAACATGAGAATAAGTTCAATACCGGCTAGTATTATCAAATAAAACATTTAGGCAGGACCCACTCCCTTCTCCTAGATAAAAGACTTACCAGGTTTTTCAGTATTTCAGATAAAAATCAGTACACAAAAGCCTTCATTCTCAAATTAGAATTACTCTTTCATTAAAAGGCTTTTTAAATTAATTTAGGAGAAATTACTTATAAACAAAAGTGCACACATATAAGTGAGCTAAAACATATATTCAAAACTGATTTTGTCCTTTCAAAGTGATCATATTTGACTTTGAACCTACTGCTGTAAAATACCTTTATGTTTTTATTGCTTCGGATATAATTATAAAAGAAATAAACAATCTGTTAACATCTGGAATTATATATCCCACTGAATTCCTTTATCTATGTAAATTATATAATAAACCTAACTAAAATGGAAACAAACTATATAAACCAACTAGCTGTATTTCAGGAGGTTGTCACTGGTTTAACTTTTTAAAAACAGAAAACAGAAAAAGCTTAAGTAATGCAATACAAATGAGACTTAGGCAATTACCTCAGGGTCACTTGATCACTTGATCTTGAACCTTGACCTTTATTCTTTAGGGCTTGCAAGGTGGACTTTATAAGAGACGCAGAACCAACAGAATCAGACTTGGCTTTGACCCTGGAACTCTGAGTAAACAGGAAAGCCGAAGTCTCAGCCTGCTGTTGGCTCCGTCCTCTGCCTGGTAAGGACGTCCCCTCTTCCAAGTCTTTACATCTGTGTCCACCCTCCCTCTTTACTCCTTGGCGCTTGAGCTTTAGGTGCCTTTTGTCTTGCCTGCTCGGTTTATGCTTGGATTCTAGCTAACGTGCTGGTTCAAACTGAGGGGCGCTTGCCAGCTACTGTGGACTGCTTTAGATTTTCTGAGATAAAGAAATAAACACATTTAATTAGGCCATATTATTTCATAAAAATATGCTCCTGAGTACGTGTGTGTATACATACATGTATATGCACATGTATGTAGTCTATGCACATGCACACAGTAAAATAAAGGATATTGAACATAAGCAAATCCTCTTGGGCGGCGGGTGTAGAAGTCAAGTGGAATGTAAACGTCTACTATAGGGCCGTATCGACCAAACTCACGGCGCAAGTCCTCAGGCCTGAAGTATTTTAGAAATAAGGTAAAGAAATATGAATAGCTGGATTTAAATATTTTGCCTACAGAAATTCAGTTGAAAACTTCAGCAGAAAGTATATTTTCCGGACTAGAATTATCTAAAATTGTCTCTCGTAGGAATCACCCAGGGTTTAGAAAAGAAAGGAAAAATAAAACAACAAATTCTCAGTTCTAAGTTCTGGAGATTCTGATTTAAGAGGTCTGGAAGTCTGTATTTTTATAAGAACTCTAAGTGGCTTTTATGTTTAGTCAGGTTTGGGATACTGATCCAGCACATTCACTTAATTTTTTTGCTTTTTTAAAACTGAAATATAGTTGATTTACAATATTGTGTTAGTTTCAAGTGTACAGCATAGTGATTTCGTTTTTATATATTTTCTACATATTCCTTTTCAAATTCTTTTCCCTTATAGGTTATTATAAAACATTGAGTACAGTTCCCTGTGCTATATATAGTAGGTCCTTGTTGGTTATTTATTTTCTATAGAGCATATGCACTTTTGAAAGTTATTCCTATTACAAGACTTTTCAACTGTCAAAATACAGAGTACTATTAACTATTCATTAAGAACACATTCATTTGTCTCACTATAATTTCATATTTATGTTAAATGTTTTCAGATAGAAATAAGATTCTGAAGAAGTCCTAAAGTTACTTCTCAGGCTTTAAAAGAAAAATCTATGCTTTATTAGTAAACATAAAGCAAAAATAACTACCAGAGCCTCAAATCTGGCAAGTATTTTTGAGTCACTTATATGCTTTCTGCTGTCATAGGTACTAAAGAGGGGACACCAAGGAAACACATAGCATAATACTTGTCTTCAGGAGTTACAATTTAACTGGAGAGACAGAACACGGAGCATTAAAAACTGACAGTTATAATGCATTTATATACCAGCCACTGTTCACCGTAAGACCACTTAATTCCCATAACAGATCTTTACAAATGTTGCTTACAGATGATGGTACAGACAGATGAAGTCACCTAACGTCACCGAGTCAGAAAGAGACAGAGCTGGAAGCAAACTCCCACGATCTGACACTAGTCTGGCTTCCTAATGACTATATCCTACTGCCTCTTGGAGCTCATAGAGATTCAAAACCAGCTATGAGCACAAAACACGGCTTAGAGGAATTAAAGAGCATTTCAAAACATACTCCGCAGAAAACATGGCCCAAGGATGAGCACAAAGCTTCTAACTTGGGAAATGGAAGAAAGGTGGCGTCCAAGATGAGATCAGGTAACTGGAAGAGACAGTCAGGCTGGAGACTGAGGAGAGGCAAAACAAGAAACTTTCAGGGTTAGAAATGCCAAGTTTGAGGGGATGGTGAAACAGCCATGAGAGTTCTATTCTATGAGCACCTGAAAACTGTGGTTATACAAATTCAATTTTATTTTTTCTCAAGACTGTAAGTCAGTGATTAAAGCTAGAGATATGAATTTAAGAATTACATAAAGATTCAACTAACACTAACCAAGTAGCCAATATTATGTTGATATCATGACAATTTCACTTTATTTTTATTATTTTATTTTTAATATTCACTATACCACGCTTAGCTGCCTGCCTTTCCTGAGTGACTGTTGCCTTTAGATTTAGAGGACAATGACAATGCCTTTTTCTTTCATTTATTCATTCAACAAACACTTACTGAGTATGTACTATGGACCAGGCTCTAGGAATATGATGGAGAACACGAAAGACACAATTCCTGCTCCCATAAAACACAGACTACAGAGCAAAAATTCTCAACCATGCCTGAATATTGGAATCATCTGTAAAGGAGATGTCATGGAAGCAGGCATTCCAGCCTGATCCTTTAATCCCTGACCTAATTTGTGCTTCCCATGGTGAGCCCCAGTTACGTTTAATTTTTTAAGGGTTTCATAAGCAATTCTGAGGTTCAGGGTTGAGAATCACTTCTAAAGCAGATGTCTTCACTAGTATACCTCAGTACCTAACATAGTTGCTTGGCATGTAGGAGGCCTCAGAATATACCTGCTGTATTGATGAGTGAAGGACACATCACTGTTACTATTTACCAGTCAAGGAGACTGAAAGTGAGTTACCTTGCCCAAAGATACACACAGTCAGTAGCAAAGCTAGAATTCAAATGAGTACCTTCAGAGGCAACCAATTTCATCCACCAAATGTGAGTGGCTGACAGAAAAGGATACTAGATATATAAAGGAGGCTAGAGCAATGTGTCATAGAGACTTAGAACCCCAGAAGTCTGAGGGAATGAACCTTCTCAAAAGAACTGGCTCTTATTCAGTCTCCTCTTCATCTTAGCTGTTAGCTGTTTTTTTCCATTTATTTTCGTATTTCTGGTGTAATCTATTTTGATATTAAACACACATGTATCCATCAACAAGATTTATTATGCCTTAATATTAACTATACTTCTAATTTTTAGTATTTTTTAAGAAGATACTGTATTCTTCTCCCTCAGAAATAATCACTGGTGTGCATCATTCCTCTACATAACTTTGTATTTCTACTGCAAATCTATATAAATGGTATCAGATCACCTATAAATGGTATCAGATTACCTGTAAAATTTTGCACCTTGCCTTTTCCACCATTGAGATTTCTCCATGGTGCTCTAGTTCACTCATTTTAACTCTGTATCGGTATTGTTACGGATAAACCACAATTTTGCACATACTTCTATGGGTGAGCATTTAATATGCTTCCTTTTTTTAACTGCAAATTGTGCTGTAGCATAGTTTTCTGGGATGTATCACTAGCCATGCAATTGATGGGCTGGAGAGTATACATATCTTCAGCTTTCCTACATGTTCTCCAAAATGGCCAAATCAACTTATACTCCTCAAGACATGCATCAGAATGCCTAAAAATCCAACTCCTCACTCCCTGCCATTCTGAAGGATATAAAGTGAATGGGTATCTCATTATTTGAATTTTAATTTCTGTAAACACCAGTTAGGTTCAACATCTTTACATGCTTATCAGTCATTTATTCTAGAGTCAGAATTTCTGGGCTAAAGAGGATATATACATTTAATTTCTATGAAACGGCCAAACAGTTCTGCAAAATGGTTAACATTTTATACTCCCACCAACAACATGTACGTTTCAGTTCTGCCCATCTCTGTCAGCACTTCGTACTGTCAGTCTTTTGAATTTTAGCCATTCAAGAGGGTATTAAGTGGAATCTTGCTGTGGTTTCAATTTGTACTGCAATTTTTGCATTTCAGTTTGTATATTTGCATTGTACAAATGATGCTGAGCACTTTTTCACATGCTAATTGGACACTCATATGTATTTCTCTTGAACATGTAGGAATTTTTTGTCCATTTTTTAATAATAACATGTCTTTTCATTGTTGACTTATAAAAGTTCATTACTATTCTTAGAAAAGTCCTTTGTGAGATATATGCTTTCTGAATACTTTATCCCAGTCCCTGGCTCACCTATTTACTTTCGTAATGAACAGAAATTTTAATTTTGGAGAAACCTGACTTTTCAATATTCCCTTTTAAGGTAATGACTTTGTCTTATAAAAAATCTACCTATCCCCAAGTCATACAGATATCTTCCTTTGCTTTCTTCTAAAAGCTTTACAATTTTATCTTTTACATATCAATTAATGATCCAGTTCAAATTATGTGGGACAGAGGCTGAAGTACATTTTTTCCCTATATATATCCAGTTGTTACAGCATCATTTGGTGGAAAGTTTTTTTTTTCTAAAGGCTTTAGTGCCTTTGTCAAAAATCAACTGACTCTATATGTGTGGATTATTTATGGACCCTCTTTCTGTTCTATTGATCTATTCGCCTATCCTTAGGCCAATAACAAAGTTTTGATTATTGTAACTTTTTAATAAATCTTTAAGCCAGGGAATATAAGCTTTTCAGCTTCAGTGACCTTTTAAAAAATTATTTTGGCTATTCAGATCCTTTGCATATTAATATATTTTAGAATTAATTTGTTCCTGTTTTTTAAAAGCATTTGATCAGGAATGCCTTGAATCTATAATATAATCAACTGGGATGGAACTGATAACATAACAGTTCACCTTCCAATCTAAGAACACACACTATATTTATTAATTTATATTGGTCTTTGATTGCTCTTGGCCATGTGTTGTTATCTTCAATGCAAACGTTTTTATGTGGTTTTGCAAAACTTATTCCTAAGTATGTTTTTTGATACTAAGATAAAAGGAATTTTAAAAGTTTTTGTTGTTTGCTGTTAGTATATACAAATAGAATTTTCACTAAATTTACTTCATATTCTGGTGACTTAAGGAAACTATTCATGACTGTAGCTTTATGTAAACAAACATGTCACCTAAGAATAGGGACAGGTTTTACTTTTACCTTTATAATTTTTATATCTTTATTTTTCTTGCCTTGTTACATTGGTTAGGACCTGCAGTAAAATGTTGAATAGTGGTTGTAAGAGTTGACATCCTTGCCTTGTTCTGATCTTAGGGAGAAAGCATTCAGTTTCATTATTAAGTATGTTGTTAGCTAAAGGTTTTTCATAGATGCCCAAAAGCTGAGGAAGTTCCCTTCTATGTCTGTGTGTGTGTTATCTGGCCTGCACAATGTTTATAAACATTTAACAAAAAGTGCTGAAACATGGAAATGCCAATATCTTATAGCTTTTAAAACTACAAAAATGGCAATTTTGTATGATTCAACTTAGAAACTGCCAACAGTTTGAAACTGACAGTTTACACACACAAAATACAGTTTTGACTTCTTTTGAAAATTAAAACGATGTAGCCACAAGTCCAAATGTCTATACAGCAGTTACAGCTAAAGCCTGGTAGCAGCCACTGTCCTCTTGAGATGGCATATGTTCTTTTCCATTTACGACAGTCCACACCATTCTATTGGGCTTTAACCTGACACCTTCACTCATTCATTCATATTACCATGGTTGGCCTCTGTGGCCATTAGAATTGGAAACCTTACATTTTTTTTGTTGGTGCACTGCAATCTTATTCAGTATACAAGTGGTCTGTTTAACCACAGCAATTTTTCTAACCTTACCCAAATTATAAATTTTGCTTGCTTTCTATTTAATATGCTGATAAACAAGTTGAGCAAAGACATGTAAACACAAGCATACTTAGGATGTTAAAGTATGTTAACTCACAGTCTATAGTTGTGACATGCATATATATATTAGCAGAAATTGAGTTTCTAAGAAAGACTTAAAATTTACTTCTCAAAAGTAAATTATGATAATTACTCTTGATGGCTCTGGAGTCAAAGGCTCCAATATATTTCCAGCCATGAAGCCCCAGGTAAGTCACTGAAACTCTGAATTTCAGCTTTCCCTTGGGTACCACAAGATAATCTTGCATAACAATAAAGACTGGGATGGGGAGGAGGGCTGTGGAGTAAATTAAACAGGCCCAGTGAAACGAAAATATCTACTAATCCCCCCCCATTCCCTCTGGCTCCTGCTGAGGGAGAAAGACACAGCTCTAAGAAGTCAACATTAGAAACTGTGCAGACACAATTCTCCCAACGGGGGCGGGTGGGCTGAATCCAACAGAATCGACCAGGGAAGTCTATCCAAACCATTATGATGGGTGTTTACACTGCACTCCAAACTTTAAAGGAAAACACAAAAATCTCATTCTCCGAAGTTATCCTTTGTATACAGTACAAAATTGTGCAACAAATAAATTAACGAGCGCCACCTGTAAGTAAACCAGACTACTGACTACAGTCGTCAGGCCCAAGGTACGCACTATTCCGCAACGCGTTCTCAGCATCCCCAACTCCTTCCCGGCTAGGTGGGGAGATGCGCGGCTTTATCCCTGCCCAGCGACAAAGGGGCGAGACGCTGGCACTCGCCCGAGGAACTCTCAGGGGCGGAGGCGGCGGGGACCGCGGCTCCCAGCCAGGGGCAGCCGGCGCGCCTCCTGTTCTCTCGGGGAGGAACAGGCACCGNCGGGGTCCCGGGATTCGAGGGCCTCTTCGAAGGGCGCGGCGCGCGAGCCCGGGTGTGGAGGGCGTCGGGGAAGGGGCAGCGCCGGGGTCCCGGGGGCGTCGAAAGGGACTCTCGGAGGGGGCGGCTGGGGTCGGAGTGCAATAGGCGGGCATGGACTAGAGCGGTCCTACGGGCTGAAGCAGGTGAACCGCGGGTCAGAAAGCGTCCGGAGGCAAGATGTTGCGAGTCGGAGGTGGGCGGGGTTCAACCTGGGCACAGCCAGATGGTCCCTGGGGCCTTCTTTATTGCATCCTCAGCCCCAGACCGTGGCAGTGGTTCTGCCTCCTGCCCTTTGAATGCTGAGACTGTTTAGACTTTCAAACTGTGAGGATTTTTTTTGATTCTTCATCCATTATTCGTTTGGAGTACACCATTCAGCTGTGAGTACATTCATTCAGATGTTTACTGAGCACCTGCTATGCACCGAAAACTATTCTAGGTGTGGGACCCAGCAAAAAACAAAAGCCACATCCCTGCCCTCATAGAGCTTACATTCTTGAGCGAAGACCAGACAATAAAAGAATGAACAAGTGAATACGTGGTGTGGAAGAAAGCGATGAAAGTGCAGAAGCAATTAAGCAAATTTAAATTACCCTCTCCCTGCCTCTCCAGTGCATCTTAGCCACCCCTTCTCAGTACTCCTCCTGCCTTCACATTTGCTACTGTGGTCAGAAACACGTGTTACCAGGACTGAAACCAGGTGGCTTGTAATTATAGTAGCACCCCTTTTCATTCTCAGAAGTGGCTAATTTGGGAGGGTAAGTAATATGGTCATCCTACCTAGCCCATGGCTGTCTCAAATGCTGTGAGTTTCCCAAGGTCAGCAAATGCTTCTGGAATAGTGGCCATTGGTTCAAAATGTGATTCCTTAGGGCACAGCAAGCTCTGGGCTAGCCTGGGGATCTAAGGGGTGGGAGTGGGATCACATTCTTTGAAGCTTACAACTTGGTAGAGGAGGCAGAACCTAATTATCACACTGATAATTAAAGATAAGCCTATGCTAAGGGTATGAAAACAGCTACATGCAGGACTTCCCTCGTGAGCCAGTGGTTAAAAATCCATCTCGCAATGCAGGTGATACAGGTTCAATGCCTGGTGGGGGAACTAAGATCCCACA